ATTGCATTTTCAGCCGTGATTTATGTGCACGTTGGAGCCGGTGCGCTCCAGTTAGTCGGTCATGGCATTTTCTGCAGCTGGTCTGACTCCAAACACAGCAGGATGTTTCTCCACCAGTAAACATCAATCTGCCCCCTCCATCCCTCTTCCTGCTCTTTTCTTTTATCATTCATTTGTTCCTTCTCTCTCTTCCTGTCTTACTTGCTTTCATTCATTCATTCTTTGCTTTTTTTTCTCTTTTAGTTTCCCTACAGGCGATGCTTTCACTTGCTCCTCTATTCTTTCCATCTTCCATCATCTGTCTCAGCTGTATTTGAAGGAATGACAGTGAGGCACCCTCAGGGGTTATACAGCAGCTCTCCCTCCTTCGTAGCACACACACACACACAAATACACGCACACACACGTGAGCATACCATTGTGTTTTTTTTGTATCCTGGTGCTTGACATTGACACATTAGTTCTCCATCTCTTTGTCCATAAGCTTCAGTGTGTCGTCCTCTATAGTATTACTATTAATTGTACTGGGAATGTGTACGTACGCGTATATCTAAAACTGTGGCTGACCCCTGGTGGGAGGTTACGTTGTTTTTAAATTTGATACGATAACGATTTGATTTTTCAAAATAATGGTAATTTTTAGAAAAAATCTATTCATCACATTTGCAGATTATACCCAGTTATATCTATCGATCAAGCCTGATGAAATTAATCAATTCAATTACAAACATGTCTTAAGGACATAAAAACCTGGATGTCCTGCAATTTTCTGATGTTAAACTCAGACAGAACTGAAGTTATTGTACTTGGCCCCAAAAACCTCATAGACTCACTGTCTAAAGATATAGTTACTCTAGATGGCATTACCTGGCCTTCAGCACCCACTGTTCAGGAATCTTGGAGGTTATTCTTTAATCAGACATGTCCTTTAATTCCCACATAAAGCAGACCTCGTAGGGACTCCTTATTTCATTTTCGTAATATTTACGAAAATAAGACACATCCTGTCACAGACAGATGCAGAAAAACTATAATTCACTGCATTTGTTACTTCTAGGCTGGATTACTGCAACTCTCTTATTATCAAGGTTGCCCTAAAAAGTCCATTAACAACGCTCCAATTAAAAACGCTGCAGCACGAGTACCGACAGAAAATAGGAAAAGAGATCACATCTCTCCTGTAATAGCTTCTCTGCACTGGCTCCCTGTAAAAACCAAACATTTAAACATGGCTTTATCCATTGTTCTTATTTCTGTATTGAAAATATGGGGAAACTTCTTTCTGCTGCTGTCAGCCAAGGCCTCTACGTCATCTAGTGTCACCACGCTGCGCGGCTCCGACTGCCCTCAGTCACACAGACTCCTGACATTTGACATCATGTCACATAATAGCTGAGTCTTCGAGGTCAAACCAACAGCATCTCCAAATCCAACCCTATGACAGGCAGCCGACTCGAGTCTGTGTCAAAGGTAATCGTGGTGGAAACAAGTATCATCCAGGTTGACTTTAGTGGGACCAGACTGTTCATTGGTGAGACTTTAATAATATAACCACTTTCTGATACTAACTCATTATTTTGAGATGCTATGTCCACATTTTGAGAGTTTCTCAATATGTTATCTCTACATAACGACTTAGTCTCTCAAAATAATTACTTTATGATAAATCGTTATTTTGAGATAATAATTCAAAATATTGAGAAGGTTTCTTATTATTTTGACTCTTTGAATCTTATTTTCCTCACTTTGGAGGAAATGGGCTTCCATAGGTGTTCCATGCATCGACGGGGTGAAAGAATAATAGACTGGATTAACTGAAAATGAACTGTGTTTTTTTATTTTTTTTGCACCAACTGCTATCACACTTTGACAAAGTGCTCAGGTAATGCTGAGCAGATTGGAGTTTTAGCTGTACAAACATTTCTCAGAGTGGCTCTGGAGACAGAAATCGAAAAAAAAAAACCACCAGCTGATATAAACCTCCACAGCTTTTTCACAGCACACGGCAGAGGCACAAGTTTGCAAATATAACCGGCAAATGAACTCAATATTTACAGCAAGTTAAAACCGCAGTAATCAATATTTTTATATTAACACTGAATCAATGTTACGTGATGTAAAGTGAAAGCTGTTGTGACAGCCCCACAGATAATTCTCCTCAACTCAGAGGAGTCTCATTCTCATTAATTGCATTTTTCAGCAAAAAAGCTTTGATAAACTACACCACAGCAGCAGAGACACAAACCTAACTCTTATTTGTTGGCAGGGTACAAAATCAGCGCCTGCCTCCAGCCAAATGCCTGTAAATATGCTGTACCCAAAGCCCCCAGGAAGAGCACTGGGCCAGTTTAACACAGTGGCCAAAGCGTGTATTTGCAGTCATGTGACGTTGCAAATAAATATACGTTGTTGAGTTGTGTACTTACATTATCCCAAATACTTAACACAATGTTCTACTTATTACAGTAAAGGTTTTTTACTATAAAAAGAACTTCTCTCACTGTTTGAGTTGAGAAGAAAGTTCAGCTAGCTCAGCTTTTTCTGCCCCGTTGAGGTTGAATTCTGCCTCCAGAGCGGTTCTACCACTAAAACATAATCAGCACTTATCACCTGACAAAGCTTTTGTTATTGTAAATTATCATTTGATTTAGAAAAGCATTGCTTAGCTGAGAGAATTAACGACATGCTGGGGTAAGTTGTTTGGTGGCTGTTGCTTTACAGCCCGGAGCAGCACTATCTGGTTGTGTGACAGAAAGTTAACATTGTGCATTCCCAACTGTCCTTTTATGTCATTTACATACAGGCACAAACACCTCCTGTGAATAAAACAGCATTTATAAAGTGGAGACAGGTGGCAGTTTGACTGGTGATTGACAGGTGTGACAGCATGAGATTTTTTATTTTTTTTGATGGATTAGGAAAGGAGTCATGACTTGACATTGGACTGACACAATGAGTGCAACCTCTGACAGCAGGATTTTAGGGATATTTAAGGATTTTATGGCGTTTTTTGATCAATTATGACTCAAACAGATAGACGTACACTCCATGCAAGCAAATTTAGCTCCAAATAAATTCTAAAAACACTTGTTTTTCTCAGTACCTAACATAATGTAAGATTTACATTTCTTTGAACAAGCCCCTTCAGATCTTCTTTCCAGGGTCCTACATAAAAAAAACCTCTGTGTCACTGCTGTGCTGCTAAAAATATCTGAGGCAATTTTAATCAAAATTATCTCATTTCAAATTGCATTTTGCTTGATGAGTCATCTTAATTAGCAAATTGCTCATTGTGTGTGAACAGATGGAAGAACATGCAATCAAGGTTGATAAAGCATGACAGTTTAATACCGGAATAGAGCCTGTTAAATCATTCAGTAACGTCACGTCACCTGGTTTTCACCCAGATCACTGAGCATGAGATTGATTAACCCTTCAAAAGTCATTTTGTTTGGGTAATAGTCAATAAGTCTCAAAGTGCAAGAAACTACTGCCGGATACTTGCGGCCTCCATCAGCGTTCCCAAACTGCTACCTAATCCAAACAATCAAAGGTGCTTTCATCCTGTGAAATTATGAGGTTGTTTGCCTGCAATTAGTTTGGTGTGAACCAACTCTATTAGTGTGGCTCAGTGATTTCTCTTCTTCGCCTCCCGACAGATCTCTTGATCCGTGTTGTGTGCGTAATTAACCATCAATGATTAGCTCCACGGCTGAAGTGGAGAACGCCGGTAAGCCGAGGCGCTACCGCACTTATCCGTTTCAAGGACCCCTGACCCCGTCTGATCCAGTTCAGGAGTCAGCTGTGGTTGGGTGTGTGACCTTGTGCATTCAGGGCGATATCATCGATAGTTATTCTTCTTCACAATAGTGTTGCCTTTGTGGGTGGCCACTGTGTCAGAATAGGTGAATGTAGGGTCAAAGGTCAAGGTTTCTGATTCAACATTGCCCAGGATCTATGTTGCACATCATACCAAACATGGATTTATCTTTAGATGTGTCAGATTCTACGATGAAAAACTGTCAAACAATGAAAGAAAAAGACCGTAAACTCTAAATAGGTTTAACAGTTAAACACTGTGATATCTCAGGGCAAAACCTTTATTTATACAGCATTTTAAAGGAATTTATACAGAATAAAGTAGTTATTTTATATTCCAGACTGTAAAAATAACACTTTTTTACAGTAAGAAAGTCAAAACTGTCAAAAACTGTCAGCTGTGGTTGCCAGAACTTAAAAACGTAGATATAAAAAGTACTTTTCTCCTATCACTGTGAAATTATCTTAGTTTATTATTATTATTTATTTTATTTTATGGTTAAAGTTGGACTGTATAAATACAAGTTTTTACCATCCAAAAAAAATTGTTTTGCCATGATGTAGTTTTCTGTACGATTTACAGACTTTATTTGATTTAAATTCCTTTAAAATCCCTTATAAATATGACAGTGAGTGTTTCACTGTTACAGAAACTGTATTTAACCTATTTAAATTTAATGTTGTTATTTTCAGTCATTGTCTTGAGTTTGGAATAACAGAGTATGAAGGAAGAGGACGGCGGTGAGAGGGAACAACATGTTTGCAGTAGGTTTATGTTTTTTATCTGAGATTAAAGGTGGATCAGCACATAGGGACCCCTGGAGCTCTTTCGGGGACCCCTGGAGGATCCATGTCCCGCTAGTTCTCCTATTCTTCATTTAATAACGTATTCTTGACAAACACACGCAGGCTGCCCTCTCTCCCTCTCTCCCTCTGCCTCTGTGTCTCTCTATCAGCTGGGTTTATTCTCAGCGGACACTGATGCGCACAACATAACAAGGCCTTTCTCCCTCTCCTCCCTCCCTCTCTCTCCCTCCCCTCAATCTCTCCCCCCTCCCTCTCTCTCCCTCCCCTCAATCTCTCCCCCCCTCCCT